ATATATATTAATCATTTAAATTTTAAATATAATATTTTAAATATTCAAAACTATAGCTTAAAGTCTAGTGAGCAAAAAATAATACTTGGGGCAGTTTATTTTGGTGCGGTGGCGTTTTGAAAACGCGTCTGTTTGGGTAAACTGTGTTTTGGCGTTTTCAAAATGCTAAAAACATTGTTTTCACACTGCACTTATTTAGGTGCGGTGACAGCTTTCTGGCTGTGGTCAGACTTTTCCAAATTATAAGCTGCAGCTGCCCCAAATAGACCCTTAGTATTTTGAATAATTAGTTTGTAAAGCTCTAATTTATTAATAATTATAATTAGATATTTATTTAAATGGGTATGCATATCACAAACAGACGTTTGATTGGTAATAATACAATAATCAAATAATAACAACACTTTGCAATAAAATTAAAATTTTGATAATGTTGCATGGATTAAGGCTAGGGCTATAAATGAACCAATGCACTCGATGGACGACTCGAACTCGGCTTAATTCAGACTCGGTTATATTCTTTCAAATTAGTAAATAAACAAGCCTGAATAATTTTTAAAAACTCGAAGATTAAATGAACTAAAGATGAACAAAGTCGAACTTGTTTGTTCATGTTCACATACAAACTGTTTGTTGTTCCACAAGTAACTTGTTAAATACTTGATTTTAATCTCAATGATAGCTCGTATCATATATGATATATAAATGTTTGATATTATGCTTTTGTAGGTTTTAAAATTTGTCATTTGTAGCTGTTTAGTGGGATTTAGGTTAATTCATGCTTAAATGCTCCACTAATCATCTACTAATCATAAACAATTTTTTAAAAAATAGAATGTATTTTTTTTCATTTTAAGCGATAGAATTGTAAATACATAAAAATTGTTAGGGTTACATGCATATAAACCCTTGCAATAATTTGTAAAGCCCTTGATCAATGATTCCACCTATGCATTAAATGCGGCAATTAAAATAATTTAAAAACAGCGTGGCATTTACATATATATCCCCTAATTCTTTAAGTGTGTGTGTATATATATATATAGGTTATATGTAGCTAACACTTAAATTTTACTTTTTACATTGGGACCTAAATCTTTTCTAATTATATAAAAAATATCATAAATACCACATTTATTAATATTATAAGGAGGCCCAATTAGCCTCCTAGGGATCAAAAAATCATAAATGAAACCTAACTTGGCTTGAGTTTGTCATATTACATAAATACCCCAATACTTTTGTGGAGGATCAAACCACATAATTGTGATAGAGGGAATGACAATAATGTCATTGCAATTGTTCCTACCACAAACCAAGCTTAAGGGGTGGAAGATTATTTCAATATATTGGATATTAGCCACACTTTTATTAGTTGATGACTAAGGGTGCGTTCTGAGCAGCTTGTGCTTATTCAGATAAATCGCTTATCTGGAAACACAGACTCTTCCTCGTTTAGTGTAAAAAATTAACTGTATTTGTGGATAAGCTGTTCAAACGCAGTTTCTAAATGATGAGACGGTATTTTTAAAACGCAAAGCATGCATAATTAATAGAATTTATAAATATATAAGAAATTAGTGGCCTATAAGTAAAAGGCCCATATTTTATAAATTGATATAGTGACCCACGGCCCAGGGACAGGTGACTCACGTCCACGAATCGCCTCACGTTATCTTTATGGCTCCCTCTCTGCCTCTCGATATAAGAGCTTTTGCAGGGAACCCTAAAATCAAAATGAAGGAAGCAATGGAGTCCATTCTTTTCACTGCAGCTTTACTTCTCTCGTCTCATGTCTTTCTTACATCGGCGGCCGGCCCGTCGGTCATCGTCGTCGGAGCCGGATTCTCCGGTGAGCCGTCGAACTCACTCAAGCTTTCAGAACTTGTGTTTTTCTCCTACCTTTTTTTTGTGCTATTTTTTCATACTCTGATCCCAACCAACTATTTCCCCTTTGGATCTGAAACTTAAGTGTTTAATTTGAAGGGATAAGTGCGGCGAAAACGCTATCAGACGCCGGAATAACTAACATAGTTATACTGGAGGCAACGAATCGCATCGGCGGCCGGATCTGTAAGGTTCCGTTTGCTGGACTCAATGTGGAGAAGGGAGCAAACTGGGTGGAGGGAGTTAATGGAGACAAGATCAACCCCATTTGGACTATTTCAAACCAGCTTAACTTGAAAAAATACTACTCCGACTACAGCAAGTTGTCCTCAAATACTTACAAGGAAGGGTCGGTTTCTCTATCCAGCTTTTTAGGGCTTTACAAATTTCTTCTTACGAACTCTGAGTAACATAGCGAGCTTAGCTCTTCTCGATCTGCTGATTTGCAGAGGTGGGCTGTACGACGCGGCGGAGATTCAGTCGCTGATCGACACCGCCGACGAAGTGAGTAACGCTAGCGAGCAATACTCGAACTCTTTGCCGACCAGCGGCCGGGGAGACATCTCCATACTGGCATCCCAGCGGCTTCAGAATCAGTTACTCCTCCCACCTCATTCTACATTGTTCTAAGTTTTTCTTAATTTTTTAAATGAATATATATATATATATATATATTAAAATCTAAAGGAGAGGGAACAATTTATTTTGATACTTTTATAAATTCTTAGACTAAAATAATTCACGTAAATACTCAGGAATTATTTTGACATTTTATTTTTGAAGTTTTTTTAATATTTAATAGTTAAGATGTGTTTTAAATTTGAGTTTATTTCTAGGCTTGTCAAAACTAATTTTTATTCTATTTTCTTGATGAATACTTTGAATTGATTATAAATCTTTGTAGCCTTATAGTCAATTATTTTTTTTAGAAATACTACTCATCATATATATATATATATATATTTTATGAGTAGTATTTTAAAAAAAATCAATTGATTATAAGGCTACAATGTTTATAATTAATTAAAAGTATTAATGTAGAAAATCAAATAAAAATTATTAAATTAGATTAAAATGATGTTTTAAAATTTACCCCAACTTAATATTTTATGGCTGCTTGATTACGGTAAATGTAAACTGAACAGGACACTACACCCCTATATTAATATACTTAGAAAAATAAAAAGAAATATTCTGTAACCCGACAAAGCTGACAGAAAAGTGCTGCGCTGCACGTGCTGAATATTCGTTTAAAAAAGCGTGAAGAATTTTAAAAACGGATTCGAACGCTTATAATGTATAAAAAAATGATAAAATAAATTAAAAATAAATAAATAAATAGGTATTATAAAATTAAATTTAAAGCATATTTTAATCATTAATTCGTAAATATTTCTACATAATTTTTCATATAAAAGGTGCAAGATTTACCAAGGAATTGACAGATTTTTTTTTTTTTATCAGGAGACTTAAATATAAAATATATTCTAATTATTAATCATTAATATCTAATTTAATTCTGTTTTTAAAATTTAACTTTCAGAAGAAAAAAAAATAAATTTTCTATTAATAAGAATTTATTTTATCTAACAAAAGATGCTGTTTTCATCAGAATTGACAAATAGGGCTGTCAAACAAACTCGTTGTTCGCGAACAGCTCATTCGAGCCGAACACGAACAAATTTTTAAAGTTTAAATTATAAAATAGTCGAACACGAACAGTTCTTTGTTCGCTCGTGTTCGCTCGAAATAAAAAAAAATTATATAACTATTTATATAACAATATATTACGTATATTATTTATTTAATAATATATTATATATATTTATGTATAAGTTTAAATTATAACAACTCATGTTGCAATGTGGTTAGTGCCTTCCTTTGTATATATTTGATCCATGTCGAATCTCATATTTTATAACTATTTTTCTCAATTTAAGTTTAACGAGCCAATTTCGAGCCGAACACAAACAAGAATTTTTAGATCGAGTCGAACACGAACACATTGTTCTCGAGCCGATTTCGAACACGAGCTATTTCGAACGAGCCGAACACAAGCCCAGCCTGAGCTTGCCCCGGCTCGTTTAAAGCACTATTGACAAATGACATTATTAGGCCCCAGCTCTTTCAGCCGAGCATCAGATCTCTTTTTTAATTTAATTTTTAAATCCGTGCATTTATTAATCACATAAATCTGTTTTTTATCAATAATGACATCAAGTTAACAATTAATGATTGCTGATTAATTGAAGGCCTTGACCAAAATTTCTTCATAAAACCTGCGCACCGATAATTTCGCTATTTATTTATATTAAATACATTTTTTTATTATTTTGTTTGAGAAATTAGGAAAAAATGCTAAATCAAAATTATAAATATAGATAAATAAATAAACTTGTATCCTTGATTTTCATTTTAAAAATATTTTCATATTGTTTAGCCTTCATTCAATAATTGGGTTGGGTTTTTAAAGTCGGGCCGAAGTCTGAAAAGATTGAGCCCAATTAGTGATTATAGGCCCATCCTATGGGTTAAATATTTGTTGTCACGTGGCACTTCACCATTGAAGTACTGATGCATCAGTACTCTTTAGTTAATATTTTTTCATGAGGATGACCTGCTTTCAAGCTTTTTGAAAGAAAAACGATTTACAACCGTACTATTTAAAAAAAGTTAAATTTTAAAATGAAAGAAACTTTGGAAATAAATTTCAACCTTTGTAAAATCCATATTTATATATAATTCAAAATTGGTATATAAATAATACTTTTGTACATTTTTTTTTTATAATTTCATATATTTCAGTTTGAATATTTTTATAAATTTAATATAACTATTATTTTAATAGATAATTTTTATTTTAATTATAAATATATATGTATATATATATATATATATATATATATATATATATATATATTGGTATGAGTAAATGTATAATGACGAAGAAAAGATTAGATATGCCAAAGTGTGTGATCAAAGAAATAGACAACACAGAAGATTTTGTGAAGACTTTGTTTCTAACTAATATTAAATAATTTGATTATTTTAAAAAAAAAATATATTTTCACATTAATAATTGTTTTAATTTTAAATATTATTATACTGTATTAATTTCAATTAAAAATATGTTTTATATAAATTTCAGATGTTAATTGTGTAAAATGTAAATTTCCATAATATTAATTACAAGTTAAATATAATTAAAATTTTAATCATGATTATTTATTGCAGCGTGCCGTCCTCTGCTGCGGAGATGGTGGTGGACTACTACAACTTTGACTATGAGTTTGCGGAGCCGCCACGTGTCACGAGCTTACAGAACACAGTTCCGCTGGCCACATTTGCAAACTTCGGTGAAGATGTGTATTTTGTGGCAGACCAGAGAGGTTATGAGTCGGTGGTATATCATGTGGCTCACCAGTTCCTCAAGACCAACAAAGATGGCACCATAGTTGACCCCAGGCTTATTCTCAACAAGGTAAATTTCTAATTTTTTTTTTAATTTAGGTAAATATTTATTATTTTTATTTTTAAAAATGTAAATTTTTAATTATATGTAACTGAGATAAATTAGATGTTACATTATTCATCTTGGGCCCTTCAATTAAAACAAACAAAGGGTTTTTCTTATAATTTAAATATTTGATTTTGATGAGCTTTTGTAAAAATTGAGGTTATTTTAATAATAACATAAAGAAAGTAGTTGCTTCTAGGGCTGGCAAAACGGCTCGTTGTTCGCGAACAACTCGTGTTCGACTCGTTAAGAACCTCGTGTTCGGCTCATTAATTTCGTTCGATAAGTTAACGAGCCGAACACGAACAAAGTTGTGTTCGCATATAAATAATAATTTTTAAATCTTGCTCAAATCGTCTTATGCCTACATGATTAGGAATGTTAAAAGGACTTTTTGTTCGTGAACAGCTTGTGTTCGACTCGTTAAGCAAACGAGCCGAACACGAACACACCTTTTGAGCTCGAAATATAAACGAGCCGAACACGAGCGAGCCATGCTCAGCTCGTGCTCTGCTCGTTTACACCCCTAGTTGCTTCATGTGCATTTAACTATAAAATGAAATTGATGTTGGCGATCTAGAGTTTTGAATCAAATTATTATGCTAAAAATCATCAAATTTGAGTTGTAAAATCATTATTTTTTGCAATAATATATTTTTTACGTGCAAGAATGAATTTCCTTAATTAGGTGGTCAGAGCAATCGAACATTATCCAAGCGGCGTTACTGTCAAAACAGAAGATGGCTCTGTCTATAGAGCAGATTATGTGATAGTTTCTGTGAGCCTTGGTGTGCTTCAGTCCAAGCTCATACAATTTGTGCCAAAGCTTCCTGTAAGTAAAGATAAATGATAAATATTTACATATATACTACTCAATTTCTATGTATTTCCATCTCTATCATCACCTAAACTTCATTTTTTACATATATGCGGCCTTATTTATGCATGAAAACGTCAAGTTGTATAAATATGTAATGCATTGGAAAATGGGCGGTATATATGTAAATGCCCGCCAAATAAGATGAATAATTTCTTTTGTTAACATGCTGTGGCAGGAATGGAAGATCCTTGCAATATATGAATTTGACATGGCCATTTACACAAAAATTTTCATTAAATTCCCCTCCTCATTTTGGCCCACCGGCAATGGTACTCAATTCTTTCTGTATGCAAGCGATAGACGTGGATATTACGCTGTTTGGCAGGTAATCAATTTCAATTTCCTCGCCAAAATTCACATGCAAATTACAAAACTTTCAAAAGAGAATAAGACTTTCTTCAAATTACTGGAATTTTGCACTTCTCTCCAAATTTTTTTATTGTATTGGTGTATACATACGTAGCATTTCGAGCGGGAGTACCCGGGAGCACACGTTCTGCTTGTAACCGTGACGGACGATGAGTCTAGGAGGATCGAGCAGCAACCTGACTCGGTGACGAAAGCCGAGGCTATGGAGGTGCTGAGGGAGATGTTTGGAAAGAACATACCAGAGGCGACTGATATTTTTGTACCAAGGTGGTGGTCAGATAGGTTCTATAAGGGCACTTTCTCAAATTGGCCAATTGGTGTTAACAGATATGAATATGATCAAATTAGGGTAATTAATTAATTGCATTATTAACCCTCTTTTGTGCTCGGTCGAAATAAGTTGTGATGTTTGGATTTTTTTTGATAAAATGTTTTAGGCTCCTGTTGGAAGGGTTTACTTCACTGGAGAGCATACCAGTGAGCACTATAATGGTTATGTTCATGGCGCGTATCTTGCAGGTACATTTGTAAATATCAAATTTTAGGTGTTAGCTGTGTAAATATGTAAAATATATGTGATATATGTGTAATTTTTACATTTTGATTGATGGGCTCGTAGGGATTGATTCGGCCAACATATTGATCAAGTGCATCAAGACTGGAGACTGCAAGTATGTTGTGAAGGCAAAGGATGAATGATGAATGAAGTAGGTTTGTATGATTGTTATGAAATGCTTTTTTTTGGGGGTAATTTTTGATAATATTTATAATTAAATATTTAAGAAATTTACCTCTCGCATGTTAGGCATATGTTTGTCCCACATCGGAATTTTGAAAAAAAGTTACTTTCCCCATTGCCTTTTAAATAAAGGAATGCAATCCCCTTAGGTTAAAAGATCAAAGTAGGCAGGGTGGCTTGAATTTAGCTCGAACAAGAACTAATTTGTATAAATTTGAGCCGGACATGAATTTATTATTTTCGAGTCATTTTGAAATATGTTGAATTCGAACAAACAAAACAAATTTCGAATGAGCAGAACACGAACAAGTTATGAGCCAACTCAAACTAAGCTCATTTATAGGTACCAGGTTGCTACTTTCCAGAAGCAGCCATCTTACTTTTACAGTATATATAATAATTAATTAAGATCAACTTCTAATGTTTCATATATAATAGAGCAAAGCTAATTAATTAAGATCAACTTCTAATGTTTCATCAAATAATACAATTATTTAGCATAGTCTAGAGTATATTAATGATTGTAAATAATAGATTAATGTGTCCTTGATTTGATTTATAATATTGCAGGTGGAAATTAAGCCAAGTGCCGGGGGGTAGTTCTGTGTTGGTGAAAATAAGGAGCTGAAGCTTCTGTTTCTGCCCGAGTTGAATTGCTGAGTGTGAGTGTTTGCTTCTTGTTTTTCTGTATTCAGAGGCAGGCTTTTCATTGTGCTTGCTTGTGGTGCAATTAACAGAATGTTGGGGGGGTTTTTTAAGTTAGTTCTGTAATATTTGTATTAGTGTTATCAAGCTAAGTATTTTAATGTATCTATTTCATCATGTTGTGAGTAGGGTTGGCACTGGCTCGGCTCGGGTTCGCTCATTCAAAATTAATTTTGTTCGAAATTGGCTCATTCGAAATTGCTCGTGAACAGTGTTCGTGTCTGGCTCGATTTACATTTTCATGTTTGTGTTCGGCTTAAAATTTGGTTGTTTAAATAAATTAGAAAAATAGACGTGAGATGTTAGATTGCCATTCTTTTGCAATGAAAGCCGAGGACTGCATAACCATGAGAGCTACCGTGAATATATACATGAAATGATCTGGACACTATTCGTCTCTTTTATAATTTGAGCTTAAAAATTTTGTTCTAGTTCAACTGGCTTATTCGATAAATGATTCTAACACGAGCTACTTAATGAACTGAGCACCAGCTGTTCACGAGCAATGAGTCTTACTCTCAACATTATTTTTGCAAAATAATGAGCTTGTAAATCATTAACCAAAATTATTCTTGCAATCAATAGCCACTCAACCTTAGGAGTTGATTGATTTTCACATATATCCTACTTACTTTATTGCCACTTTCTTCGGTGGAGCATTCTATCCATCCATTGAGGTCCAAATCTTGATGCCAGCCATCACCCCCTTCGTAGGCATTGAACATCAGGTGACAATGCTCATCGATGCCGCGCTCCTTCTGTTAGTAATAACATTCTATTTGTTGACCGACTTCACTCGTCCTGACCAATCCAATTGAAAGTTGTCTTGGCCAAGTTGAACATGGTCGGGCCGAGTGAAAATTAGTCGGGCTGATTGGAGTTGGTTGGGCCGAACGAAGCAGGCTAGACCACTGGAGCATGGTCCGGGCCTCTTGGAGTTGGTCGGACCAGACGGCCGGACCGACTGATTGAGGTCAGCAGGTTCTTTGGACAATCCCAACACCTTAAAACTCCCGAAGAAATAATTTTGTCATACAATTGCAACAATGATATTTTTTACGTGATTTTAAATATTTGAGTGATATGCATATTAATACGAACTTTCACTAGTTATATATATATATATATATATATATATATATATATATGTCTGTGTGTGTGTAAGATCCATCTAAAGGAAAAAATTTGCGTACGATAGACGTACGCAGCGCTGCGTGTGATTTCGAGGTTATAACGAGGGAATAAGGGGGTTATACCCGTGTTATAACCCTTTGTAACCTCTATGTAACCTAGTGTAACCTACTTGTAACCTACAGATAAATTCCGCACTTTTGTTATCATATATACTAGGTTACAAGTAAATTACATAAGGTTATATTAAGGTTACAAGGGTTTATACCGCGGATATAACCCCGTTATACCCTCGGTATACCGAGAAATCGTACGCAGCGCTGCCTACGTCTATTTTACACAATTTTTTTCCCCATCTAAAGGCCTTTTTTTTAAAATAATATTTATTTATTTTCACTACAACTATAAGCATTCAAATTTAAGTATTAACACTCGTTTACTAAAACTAAAATTAGTATTATTTTAAATTCCACTAAACTTTTTAACGAATTTCTTAAATAAGTTAGAAATGACATATTTTGACATGTCATCAACATTGCATATGAACTGTAGGCATTATTTTCCAAAAAAGATCCCTCTGTAAATTTTTAACAAATTTCTTAAATAAGTCAGATGTTGCATATTTTGACATGTCATCCATGTTTCACATGAACTGTAGGTGTTTCCTGTTCTGGCAAGACAGCTAAACAACCAGAACATCATATTTAGAACAGTATCTCCGGTCTCGGTGTTTATATATCTTCCCGTTTCCGCTCCTTTTTCTTCGTGAAACGAATCGAGCGGAGGAAATTAAAAAAAGGAATTAAAGCCAGCTAAAAAGAAAGAAAAAATAGGAGGAGGAGCTCCGAGAGCTATAAAACGAGAGATGAAGGCGGAGAAAGGGGATGAGGCGCCTCCGTGATCTCACCATGTCGGCTTCCAGATCCTAGGTGCGCGAGAAGAGAGGTGGACTTTGAAACTTTCGGTGAGCTTTTTCATCACCAATCCGATCTCTTTGCCTTTCAATTACTTCCCCGATTCGATCAGGATCTGAGCTTTCTGTATTGATATATGGCGGTGCTGTCTCTTGTGCACTGTTTTCAATCCGGTTGAGGACGTGGGGTTGGCTTTCGAGCTTGGATGGGCTGATCAGGCATTAGAGAAATCCGATTGGGTGGTGATAGGATTGAATTTCGGATTGGATCTATTTTGTTGTGATTTTGATGGTGATTTGAAGTGCAATTTGTGTGTTTATGATTGTTTGATTGGTTTGGGATTGCAGGAGGAGGAATGGAGTCGGATCTTGGGAAGCTTTTCGTCGGGGGGATTTCGTGGGATACCAATGAGGATCGCCTTCGGGAATATTTTGAGAATTTTGGAGAGGTTGTGGAGGCGGTGATCATGAAGGACCGGACAACAGGCCGTAAGAGGGGTTTCGGTTTTGTGGTATTCGCGGACCCTGCTGTTGCAGAGAGGGTTCTTCTGGAGAAGCATCAAATTGATGGCAGGATGGTATGGTAACTCCCATTGCTATGTATTTGAAATGTGCATGCTTGAAGCTCTTGATAGAAACACTTTGAAGCATTTTACATACATTGCTACAAAACTCTTTTATCTTTTTACTCCGGTTGAATTTGGTTTCTTGAATTATTACGGATTATGAACCGAAAGAAACATTGAATATCTCTTATTCTGAACATTAAAATTGTATAATTTGTTTCATTAACCTTCATTATGATTCTGCTTGTAAAAATGCATGGCAGGTTGAAGCCAAGAAAGCTATTCCTAGGGATGATCAGCACATATTACTCAATAGAAACAACAGCAGCCTCCCAGGTTCACCTGTTCCTAGCCGTACCAAAAAAATATTTGTGGGAGGTCTTGCCTCCACTGTAACAGAAGCAGAATTCAGGAAATATTTTGAACAATTTGGGACCATCACAGATGTTGTTGTAATGTATGATCACAACACTCAAAGGCCAAGAGGGTTTGGTTTCATAACTTTTGATTCAGAAGATACTGTCGATAAAGTTCTGCACAAAACCTTTCATGAACTCAATGGAAAGATGGTGGAGGTCAAGAGAGCTGTCCCGAAAGAGCAGTCTCCAGGGCCTTCCATGAGGCTTCCAGTAGGAAGACATAACTATGGTTTGAATAGCTTCAACAATTTTCACAATGGATATAGTCAGGGCTACACCCCGAGCTCTATCAGCAGCTATGGTATGAGAATGGATGGTAGATTTGGACCATTGATGGGTGGTCGGAAGGGGCTCCCTTCTTTTGGTACTGGTTATGGAATTGGAATGAATTTCGAGCCCGGTGTGAGGCCGAGTTATGGCGAAAACTTAAATTTGAGTACCAGACGGACCGTAAGACCATTTTACAGTGAAAATGCGGCCCGATTTACTAGTCCTATTGGGTATGGTGCAGGTAGTGGTAATCTTGCCTTATCAGTTGGTTCAGCATCTCGCACTATATGGGACAATGGTGTCCTTGACTTTAATACTAATCCTGCAAGAGCAAATTCCTTCTCAACCTCTGGCATTGGGAACATTGCTGGTTCTGGCAACGATAGCATCAATTGGTTGGGTTTATCTTCCCCTCTTGTGGGTCATGCTACGGGCGGCAGTTCAGACTTTACTACTGGAAATTTGGGCTATGGGACTGGGGATAATATTCTTGGTTTGTTTAGTGGTGGTTATGGAAGGAGTAATGATATTGGTTCTCTCAATACTTCATTTACAACTACAAGAAATATCTATGAAGGTAGTTATAGTGATTCATATGGTGGTAGTTCAATTTATGGAGATCCAACTTGGCACTCTGCAACGAATGAACTCGATGGATTGAGTTCATTTCGTTATGGGCTTGGCGCTACAACTTCGAATGTAATATCCAAGGGTTCAATAGATTACATAAGTGGTTATGATGATATTACGAATAAGCAGATCATTAGAGGTAAGCAATTCCTTTTAGTTTTGTCATTTCTAGAAAGATTTTGCAGCATTATTTTTTTCCACTTTCTTTATAAAAGAGGTGAAAAACCAATTTAAATAATTGTATCAGCATGCTTCATCGATTATTCTTGACTAGACAGACTTTTATATGTGAAGTTTGTTTCCCTATCCATATTCTTATGCTTTCTTATGCAACTCAGCTAAAATGTTGATAGAATAGTTGTGTAAAAACTTAATACTCACCTCCTGGATCATGATCCTGGCTTCAAATAACTCCTACCATAGGATAGGTGAACTAGAACACCATACTATAAACCTCAACTCAGTTAGCAGAAAGAAGCTTGTCACAAAGTTATGGCGTGAACATGACTATTGTAACTAATTGTGAGAAATATATGTTGCACGTCACGGAGATGAGAAGTACAATTTGTTCAAATCTTTTCAGATTTCAATTCAATATATAATTATATATCGAGAGATGCAAATATTTATTTATATAAACTGATGCCTGTGTGCTATAAAGATTAAGTATGGCGGGCTCAAAGTGAGCCTTATGCAATAATAGATGAACAGCTATAAGGGCCATCACCACTATAATTTTAAACAGGATTCTTGTTTCAATTTTAATGTAGAATTATCTTCTACTTCCATTTGGATCTTAAAAATCTTCTCCCACATAAGTCCTCTACATTACTATCCTTCAAACAAAACGTTTTTAACACCGTCAAGAACCATATACCAAGAGCTTATTCAAACATAGTAAGTGAAAATTACAAGTTTTCGAACATTTCAACCACATTAAAAGCCCCTATGACCCTTGGGAGCCACAAGTTATTTGAAACACGCTCGTTCTTAGTTGAACCATCACCTCTGATATTGCTTGTTAGGAAGCATCAACCCAAGGGTATTAAATTGGTCGATACACTAATGGCTTTAACATTTTGAACCCAAATGCTTAAACTCATAGTAGCGCCTATTAAGAACTCGATTGTTGTTTCACTTCCATTCTGGGATTATTTTTCACTTTAATTTGGATCTAAACATTGTGATAATATAAACTAGTTGAGCTTAGGAATATGTAGTACTTAGGAACCTCTTCAATTGCGTTGATTAAAAAACACAAATTAAAATTATATCGATAATGGATATAATAAAATTAGAGGCGTAGCTTTTTCTTCTTTGTTATATTGTATCAAGGGGTTGTCCAAAAAGTTATGAATCAAATTAGAATGCCCATATAAAGTACCCAAGAAGTACAACTTTAAATATTTAGCCTTTGTTAAATCAATAATCCTAGATGTTGTTCTCTTTAAATTTAAGATCATCATTAACCATATCCAAATTTTGGTGGGATTACATAATGAATCTCGCTTTTCAATATATTCATGTTTTGAGCCACAGCTGGTTCTAACCCTTTTTTTTTTTTTTTTTTTTTTTTTTTTTGTTATATGTTTGAAACTCTTGAGCTTATTAGCTTTAATCGATCTCATTTTTACTTCATATTTCCTGCACATTATTTCAGTTGCCCTACTGTATTGCTCACTAGTTCAACCCTTTATCATGTATATGACTAAGCCATGTGTGCTATTTTTTATAATATTACCTTCAACAATTAACTCTCCATCTTCTCTTTTCAATAGTCATTTCTGGATCGATTTTTCTTGACTTTACAACTACTTTAATGTTCCCTTTTAGAACACTTAACTTTGTTTGTTAATATCTTTTTTGTTTAAATTTGGATATTTATGGCATAGTGGGTCTCAAAGCTATTAAAAAAAATGGATAAAAATCTCTCAAAATTTGACATGATAAAAAATGAAATTGGCTTAATATTTAATTGATTATCAGCTCCATGTCGGATTGGAAATCATTTTAGAGTTATTTTTCATTTGCCCAACTTCCCCAAATATACTTCCAAGTAGTTATGTGTGTGTGTGTGTCTGTCTGTCTGTCTCATTTGTTGGTGTGCCTATATATATATATATATATATATATATACAGGCACACACCAAAAATGATCTGCACGGATTTTGAGGCAATTTGACAGTCCAAGATAAGGAGAATAGAATGTCATTTGCTTACCTCTTTAAAGCAAGACTAATAATGTAATTTTGTATTTCTATCTTCTATAATAGCAAAGCTAGGATATGTATTGGAGGACTTTGGTTCCCCCCAATTGTAACCTCTATTTTTCTATAGAATAAAATGAGTCTAAGAGTCCAAGAACACCCCATTCACATCGAGGGGGCAAATCCTTCTCTCTCCCCCCTCCGCTTCTCCCTTTCTTTCTCTATCTCTTCATTTCTCTCGATCTCTACACTCTCTATCTTGGGCATGATTGTGTGTGTGTGATTCTTTTGGAAGGATGGATACTATGAATAGTAACAAAAATCTTTTTTTTATTTATTTACTTAAATTTCAACAATTTAGAAAATTTGATTGAAGTATAGAAGATGAGTGAGTAGGGCTGTCAATTTTGCTCATTGTTCGCGAACAACTCATGTTCGACTCGTTAAGCAGCTCATGTTCGGCTTGTTTGGTAAGTATAACAAGCCGAACGCGAATAAATTTTTAAGCTGGAAATGTAAATGAGCCGAATACGAACAAAAAATTGTTCGCTCATGTTCGGCTCGAATTGGCTCGAAAATAAATAAATATTGACGCTAAAATAAATAAATATATATATATATATATACATAATAAATATTCATAAAAATTAAATATTATGAATTATAATTAATTAATTTTTATAAAAACTGTTTTTTAGAAAAATTATCATTTTCATTTTATTTAAAAAATTAAAGGTTCGAATCTCATACTTTACATATTAAAATAATTTTATATTCTAACGAACTAATTTCGAGCCGAACACAAGCTGAACATGAACATGAATAAGTTTTTCGAGCCGAACACGAACACACAGTTCATGAGTCATTTTGAATATGAGCTAATTACGAAGGAGCAGAACACGAGCCCAGCCTGAGCTTGCACAGGCTCGGCTTGTTTACCGCCCTATGAGCGAAGACAAAAGGCTCCTACCTTCCGAGAAAGATAGAGCATTGTTCTATTAAAGTAATGGTTTCCTCTTCTTTTTTAATGGTAATCTAAAATTTGATCAGTTAAAATATTAATTTCTAGCTTTGATTTAGAATTCCTGCCAATTTGTTTGTTTGTTTGTTTGTTTGTTTATTTTTGCGTGTAACATAAACAAACATACCTCAATGATTCAAAGTAGGTCAAATCTTGTTAAAAAAAAAAAACCTTATATTTTATAAAAGCAATCATACTGACAAAACTGTGTTGGTTCGATTTGGTATTGCAATTTTTTTTTTAAACATGCACTCCAATTGACATGTATTTACTTATTGATTTTTGTATTAATCAATTTTTCTCTTTTATTCACTTGTGGTACTTTGTTAAATGCATATATGCAATTTCAAGATTTGAAATCATATAAAATCCTTCTATTACTGTATGTGCTCTGCAATTAATTTCCTTATAGCAAAACTCTCTCTTCCTGCTACATATACTCTTTGCGCAAAATTACATTGATTCAACCATATCAATGTGATTTTATACTTGGCCCCTCTTTTCTGCAATCATTGCCCCCTCTCTCACAAGTATGAGCAAAAATTTTGGTTTCTCTTATCATAATTATAATTTTATACTTATCATGTGTTCAAATTATTAAAATATTTTTTCTTCTATTATTTGGCATTCTAATTTTTTTTATTCTAGCATTCATTTAAAAGATTTCTTGAGCATGCTACAAGGACATTTCCTGCAATTCTCAAAATTTCAATAAATACTTATGATTTCTGATACATGCAATTTCATGTTTACAGAGGAATGACACTTGCGTTCATGTTTCCATGTTTATTTGGATGTCCTCATGGTGATCAGGCAGAACTGGTGTGAAAATGTAAGATATTTTTCTTTCCTATACATTGAAGATTCGGAGAAATTTTTTTTAAATTTTCTGATAACCATTCATTTATTTATTGTTTCTCAGGAATTGTTGGTTAGGAAGTTGCCATTGCTTCGTTTTCAGATCTTATGGCATTCTATGAGTCCAATGGATACAGGTGCATGACTCTGAATTTTGCTTATAAAATTATATAAAGCGGTTTGTTAATTATTTAGAGCTAACAAGAGCTTTGGTTTCTTAAAAAGTCAGATTAAAGTTTTCTGCAAAAAAAATATAGAATGTTTGAGTTTTTTATTTCAGTTCTATTGGGTTGAGATGTAAAACCAAATTGCGGGGTATATTGAGATGAGTGTTGCAACTTATGTCAGTGATGAGCGTGATCGACCTTTTTTTCTATTAATATTGGAAAGTTAGTGTTTTATCTGGCAAAACTGTGTTGGATTTGTCAGGTGAGTGCATTTATTTTTATGCTCTTCTGAAATAAAGGTCACTGTTTCAGAGGCACTAGAGTTGTCTTTATTTTTTTATTATTATTCAAGGTTTATTTTGAAAACATTTTAATTGAATTTGGATGTTTGATGGCTATATTTATTTATTTTTTTATTGTTACGATCTCTTTTGCAATTATGATTTTATTTCCAAGCTGTAACTTTTTTAAAATTTTTTTTTTTTTTTTTTTTTGTTATTGTGACTCCCAATTATGTGAACTAATACAAAGTCACATTTATGAGAAGGTTTAAATAGCTAATGAGTACAATGGTCATTTGGTTATTTAAAAGTGTTTAACTGTTTCTTGTATGGGTCATTGGTCTATATATATGTAATGATGTATATGAGTTAAGAGGGTTAAGGGAGAGAGAAATTCTAAGAGCGAGGTGAGGAACCATGAAAGCTTGTATCGGGATCAAGATTGACAGAGAGCTTGGAACCAAGAAAGCTTGTATCGAGATCAAGATCAAGAGAGAGATTGAGAAGATTGGTTCGTCCTTAATTTTGTGATGTGTAATCTTAAAGATTGTCTTAGTGAATTGTTTTTTGATTCTCTCCCGTGGATGTAAATTCTATGGACCGAACCACGTAAATTCTCGGTGTTCTTGTTTGCATTTTTTTTGCGGTTTTCCCTTGTTGTCCTGCGACTTACTTGGCAACAGATTTCACAACAAGCTGTGTTGTCTGTGGGAATTCTAGCCACAAAAATGGGATCTGTTAAGTTCGACATCGAGAAATTCACCGAAAAGAATGATTTTGGCTTGTGGAGAGTCAAAATGAGAGCCTTGTTGGTGCAACAAGGTGTCGCAGAAGCATTGCCACAATTGACGTCGTCTATCGGAATTCTAGTCACGACAATGAGATTTGCTAAGTTCAACATCAAAAAATTCATCGGAAAGAACGATTTTAGCTTGTGGAGAGTCAAGATGAGAGCCTTGTTGGTGCAGTAAGATGTAGCGGAAGCATTGCAGGGGCCTGCGACATTGTCGGCCGAGATGCCCGAGAGAGAAAAAAACAACATCCTGGACAGAGCACATAGTGTGACAATCTTGAGCTTGGGTGACAAGGCTCTAAGGGAAGCGTCAAGGGAGACAACGGCTCGGGCCCCTCAGGGCTAGGTGGAGGGAATCTATATCATGAAGATTTGTAATTGGAAGTCAAGGTGAAGATTTGTTATGGTGACTCCCAATTATGTGAACTAAGACAACCACATTTATAAGGAAGTCTAAATAGCTAATGGGTACAACAGTCATTTGGTTATTTAAAGGTGTTTAACTGGTCTTCTTGTATGAGTTATTGGCCTATATATATGTAATGATGTATATGAGTTGAGAGGGTTAAGAGAGAGAGAAATTCTGAGAGCAATATGAGGAACCAAGAAAGCTTGTATCGAGATCAAGATCGATAGAGAACTTGGAACCAAGAAAGCTTGTATTGAGATTAAGATCGATAGAGAGTTTGAGAAAATTAGTTCGTCCTTGATTTTGTACGGTGTAATCTTCAAAATTATTTTAGTGAATTGTTTCTTGATTCCCTCCCGTGGATGTAATTCCATTGAACTGAACCACGTAAATTCTCAGTGTTCTTATTTACAAGATCATTTGATTCTTCTACATTTTTTTTTTTCACGCGGGTAGACGGAGTTTGCCACTACGTGCTCAGCAACTCAATTATTCTTTTACTCTTTGTTATTGCTGTCTTTTCTTAGTTTTTACATGCACTTATAGGACACCATAAAAAGGCCTTAAGTTTATACTTCCTCTTTTAACATATTCTTTATTTTTTCCAGATCAAGCCAAAATTTAACCCCATTTAAACAATTAGTTATGAACAAACAGTGATTTAGTTGTTAGTTGATGTTTGGTTATGAACAAACATCAATAATTATATATCTTACATATATAATATCATTTTAATTTCATGAACCCTCTATTTAATTTTGAATTTTGAATTTTTCGGTTTATTCAATAAAATGAAAATCAAAACCAAATCAATAAATGAAAAAATAAATAATGAGGTTTTAAAAACCAGAATCCAAAATGCAATTTTGAAACCAAATCAAACCTGTTTCCTTAAGTTCGATTTTTCAGTTTGACCAAATAATGCATATCCCTACAGTTTGGTCTCCTCCAAGTCCTCTTTAGTGCTGCAAGAGTGAGGCTTAAACTTGTTTTAGCCATTACTAATTGCATTTTGCATGATAAGCGTTCAATGTATGTGCCAACGACCAAATCTGTCCTCCCATTTTCCATATTTTTTGCCCTTAAAGACATTTAGGAAATACATAAAGTTTACCCAAGATTTAGGGAAGCCAAAATTTTATGCCATTGCTTAGTTATAATATGTTTAGTAACAGAATTTTTATATTATGGATAATTATAAAAGGATTATCTTTAACTAAGGGGACAAATGCCACCCTTGGCTCACCCAATGAGTTTAGTTAATAAGCATTTTGGTTATCATTTGCAACAATATAAGATCTAATTCTGCCTATATTGAAGAGACATGCATAGGCCTATATAGAGATCTTAATTAGACTAGAGGATTCCATTCATAAAAGCAAAGCAAATAAGATTACATCCTAAAAGTAGAGCAAGAAGTGGCAAAACCTAGCACTCAGCTCAAATACAAATAAAAACATACATTGTTAAGTGAGAGCCAAACTTACAACATAAATGATCATCTCTTTTCTCCCAAGGTTGAGCACCATAGGTTCAAAAGAAAGCTCTGCTTCCATAGAAAACCCTACCGCCCCCATTCTTCGATACCTCCAACTTCTTCCCCGAAACGCCATTACCATTTTCCATGCCACCGCCCTTCTCGATATCCATCGGAAGCTTCATATTAGCCAATGACTCGGTGAACTGCTGCATGCTTTTCATGTACATATCAACTATCTCCTGCCGCACCACCGGCTGCTCGAGTTTGATATTATTAACTTCGATGAGTGGCTTCACAACAGCTTCAGAGTTTGTAGGGGCCATCATAGAAGATATATCACTTGAAACACAACTTATGGGAGATTCATCACTACGAAACACATCAGTATTGTATTCTTTTTCCGTTCCGAAACTCTTGACTATCTTGACACCAGCATCGTTATCAGGACAATCGTCGCCGTTCTGAGAATCCACGTTGGTGCATGGAATCCCATAATATTCCAAAACCATCATCTTATTTTCATTCACAACCTTCAAATCAGGGAATTCTATCTTATCATACTCACAAGGAATAGATTCATCGATGACTAAGGCCTTTGATCCACCATCTTCGATTGCGGAAGCTTTTGGTGCGGCGACGACCATAACTTCCGGCGATGAGCCTGTGTAAGAAACAGTCAATTGAACGAAACCGGAAGGAGAATGAACGAGATCGGTCGCAGAGAGCGAGAATTCCTGAGTCAACTCGCCATTGCACGTGACAACTTCAATGAGAGGCACAAGGGCGAATCCCAGGAGCTGGTCTCCGAGATAATTCTTCGCCCTACTTAGCATCCATATCTCGCATTTGAGTGACGAATCAATGGTTTGAACACTGAGCCTCGCACTCTCGTTGAAGATTGGATTCCTGCCACCGCCATTGATTATCTTGGTAGAGATGGAGGATTCAGGGTCGTTAGTGAGGTAGAGCTTGGCATAAACATCTTGCTTGTGGTAGATGCAGATGTTTTGAATATCTCTGGCATGGTGGATGAAGATTTCCAGAGAGCCGACGAATCCGTTGGGATTATCTATAACCTGCTGGGGTTTGTGAGTGAGCTCGGAAGTAGAATTTGGCTTTTTGGAGCTGCGTTGAATAGAATTGCTCTGAGAATTTTCTGGTTCGGCCATGGAAGTTGAAAAGAGGGAAGAGATGAGTGTTTGCGGGATGGATTTGCAGGACTCCATGAATGAGGAGGAGCAGCTGGTGTGCCTATAAAACGAAGAAGATGAAGATGATGAGATTTCAATTAGAGATTTCTTTCTTCAAGCTAACAAAAACCTAAAGCCATTTGAAGCCAATGGGGAAAAGGATTTGGGAGAGCTAACTGAATATTTCTCAGACAAATGAGATCAGAAGAATATAAAAGGGTAAAACTCTGTAGAAATCGTAACAACGAATGAAAAGACCAAAAGGGGAACCCTAGGGCTGTCTGGCAACGGATTTATGGTGGAATTTAGGCGAAATCTTGCCAGACGGACATTCTGGACAAAATAAATCCTAAGAATCAGTGGACTTAACTTCGCGTGCTTCAGATTTAAGGCACAGCTCGGTAACAACTTCAATCATTTCTAAATCCTGACAGAAATTGTCAAACAGTTTCACTGAATTTACAAGATGAAGTAAGAAAATCCATTCTGAGACCATTTCCGAATTTCAGGATTTAGTAAATCCTAAATCTCATCTGTTGCCAGACAGTCAGAGTTCGAGAGAAAAAGATAAACCCTAAAAAGCTTGATGATGCTTACCTTTAGAACCTCAATCTTCAACTTCCGACTAGAAATAGGCACCACCAAACCCTAGAAAGCCAAGAAAAAGCGCCACAAGCTCACATAACTTCAAAAACCAGGAACCTTAAACGAACACAAGAACTTCCCATGGCAGCAACAGTACTTATAGAGGACAAAATCTGACCCAAAATAAAAACTTCTTTACAGAGGTAAGAGAAAGCGTAATACCGGAATTGTAGGAAGTAGATACCGAATGATGGTGATATCTCTCCCTCCGTCTCTTTCAGCGATGGAGAAATTGCTGAGGCGAGAGCCAAATAACCACTAAAAAAATGAAATAAGGAGCTGAATTGATGAAGTTGGTCGCAGCTTTTCTCAACCGATTTCAGCATAGACGTTGAAAAGTGAAGCCGGAGACTGCCACGCGTGGCTCCAGAATAATTCTCTCCCTCTTTTCTCTAAGTAATTTTTAATTATATATATATATATACATATATATTAGATATTTTTTTGTATCACTAACATTTAAATTTTTATATTTATATTTATAATATTTGAATGTCATAAATTTATATATCTAGAAATGTTATTTTTTCAATTAAATATAGATATTTATTTAAATATTTAAGTGCTATGAAAATACACTATTATTTTAATCTAGTGAGAAAAATTATTGTATACAACATGCGGTATACGATCTACACCGTAAATCACGGTGATCTACGGTGATAATGCAATCAATTTTTTTGTTGTAAAAAAAATAAAAAAAATTAAAGTGGGACCCACCGAAATACATCATAATCGTAGATCATCGTGATCTACGGTGTAGATCGGACACCGCATGTCCTTGTGCAATAATTTTCCCTCAAGAGGAGGGGAAATAATGTGGAAAGTAGGTGGTGCTTTTATGGGACAAATTATTAATTTGGTGCCGACCAATTAAAGCATTGACCCCTGGAGTCATCAAGGTTTGAATGTGTATTAAAAAAAAGGCAAGCAACCGACTTGAAGTTCGATCCAAAATCTGCCTAAAAAGCCCTTAAAGTGGTGGCAGGCAAAGCCAAGAAAATTCTTTGTCGAAATAAGTTCAGCGAAGTGGAGGCAGGCACGATGCACAGCATTTTAATCATCCAAAATTTTAAGTAAAATATCATAACTGTCTAAAAATTTTGCTCAGCCTTCACAAGTATGTAAAGGAGTGTGGTTGTAACAAAACTTGTCAACAGAAGTCGTCATGTATGCGGGTTGAGTTGCGAGTTGAGATGGACTAGTTAGGCAGTTCAACCGGGTCAAATTGCTAGCGGCAAGTTGTCTTGTTATGTGGATTCTGGTGGCAAGTTGTCATAACCTAACCTGGTGTTTACATGATTGGGTTTGACCACATTTGACCTCACATGACGTGTTCACCCAATCACTCTATCGAGTTTGTGTTCCACCGTATATGAGTATACATTTAACTCTAAAGAATCATGTACAGTTGTGTGCATAGCTTAAAATTTAAGAGCATATCAAAGATCTATATGTAAAAATGTATCTTAAATAGTTTTGTGCAAATGTGAATGGATCTTGAATTACTTTAGTTTATTTATGAAAGAGCCATCTAAATTAGAGCATTTGAAATGAGAAGAGAGAATGATAGAAATGAAGAGAGAGAGAGAGAGAGAGAGAGAGAGGATAGGAACGACATGCAAGAAACAAAAGATTTTTTTGGTTACTTCCTAGATAAGTTTTATTTATTCTTCTAAGAAGGAAGAAGTGTTACTATTTTTAGTTTTGTAAAGAGAAGAAGCTCTTGGTCATTGCAAGTAATAGTTCCTATCTCTAACTTGCTCGAAAAGCTGCGTATATATATATTATATATATACACTCATATTAATATTATATACACTCTCACACATATTAATATATATACACTCTCACACATAATCACTATCAACTTTTGTGGGTAGTACTTATTTAATGGGCTTTCTGAGTCTGGCAAGCCTATTTCTTTTTAGCGGCCCAAATCTAGGATTGACTTGTCAGGTAAACCAGTGGAACCAACCTGACAAAGTTATATATTTGTATATAAACCAAAACCAAATACTCTTTCAAGGATGTCTTTTTTTTTATTTTGTACAATGCATTACACCTTCGAGCATAAATAAATTAATAGCACCTCCAAGCAATTATAGAGTAGAGCCGAGCTGGGGTCAGCTTGAAGTCCGTTGGAATTGATTAAGTGCAGCTCAAAACTGGCTCGTATCTCGTTATATTTGATTTTATGTGACATTAAAAATATTATTTATATAAAAAAAAGCTTGGAGTTGATTTCAAGTTAGTTCTTGCCCGTATGTTGTTCAAAATCTGCTAAAAAAAATTGATCCAAAGTATGGGCTCATTTATTTCGATCCGAGCCAAAATTTGATCAATTTTCAAGCGGCCATCTTTGAGCTAAATTCAAAAGCCATATTATAGAGCGGTCAACAAATGAAACATGCACAAGTAATTAGGTAACCCTTTAAAGATGCAAAGTGTTGTACAAATTCTATAAATATAATCCACTTTTATTAAAATTAACCCAAATTTATATTAAGTTACAAGGGTCGGATTCGAGTTAGCCTTTCTAGCCCGTTTAAAATTTGAGTCCGGTTCAAGTCAAACAGTTCAGGCCATACCTAAACCCGACCCATGAACCCAAATCGACACCCCTAGAATTGATGAGCTACTCGAGTACGAGCTATCCTGTGCAGCCGGCCAACCGAACATTATTACTAATCCATCAAACTCGGGACAACCATCCGATAAAGCGGTCTAGTGCGTTCCAAACCCTCAGATCGACTAAATCAAGAAAGATTATCTTAGTGGATAAACTAGATAATCAATATTTATTAATGGAAGGATATATAGCCTAGCTTGATAATTTACTATTAGTTTAAATTAAACTTAATAATTAAAGGGTTAATGTCCTTCTCTAATACAACCAACACCAAACTTTGATATAATTAATTTATCACCAAAAGCCCACGCTTTAATTAATTATTTGCATATCTACATCATTATCGCCTTTATCCGTAATTTAATGATAAAATTATTAACTTTGATTCATAAATAAAATACATATATTTGTGGCTGAAATTACATCATTTTTATATTTTAATTTGCTGGTAATAAATAATATATTTATAAACCAAGTAAGGAATCGCTTTTATTTATATATTTGCTTATATTTTAACATAAAATTAAATTTATTTAATTTCTAAATATATATTTATATTTATTTTAAGCTTATTTTTAGAATTTCTAAAATATTTAAATAAATTCTTTAAATTTTCAAAAAAAATTAAAAATATATATATATATATATATTTAAAATAAGATAAACAAACTCCTAAATATTGCCAGCTGGAATGGCGCTGGCCATGTCTATGCATGTGGGCCTAACTTTATTTGTGGGACATGTGGGCCTAACTTTAATAATATAATATCTAAAAATATTTAATATATTTAATATCAAAATAAAAATTAAATTATTATACTTGTCAGCTAGCAAAGTTAGAAATAAAAATTTTGATATATTTTTATAATATATATATAAATGAATTACAATCAATTCTTAATAAAAATTTTATATTTAATAAATCATCTTGAAATTTATAATATATTTTAGGATAAAAATATTTCTTTCTTGATGATAGAATATTTTTTCTTGACCGGTATTCCATTTGAGAGATGTAAATTGAACTAATTGTTCTTAATTTAATGATTTTTGCTTTATAATTCCTTCGTAGCCAGTATCGAAGGCATTGGTCTCTGCGATTTTAGGTAGAGACAGATCAACATGATTTAAGCAAGGTAATTCTACTTCAAATTATCGAACTTATATTTTTTTCGTGAAGCACGCACAAGAAATGGAGTGTGAAAATGAGAGAAAAATGTTCGCAGTGACATACGAGAGGGATGATGTATTTTTATATGTGGTTTTAATGACCTCTATTACATTCAATATTTCTCTATTTAAATGGGGTTAGGATTAGTATGGGAATAAAATTATTGTCTTGACCCTGTTTAATCGATTGACTCATAATCAACTAGCTTCATGACAATAATTGATGAATATATGTTGACTCGTAATCTCTATTTTGACTGGCTTCTGTGTTAGTTGACACTTAGTCGGTCGCTTGATAAGTCTCCAGTCGGTTGACTACTATCACTCGATCGTCCTCTATGCATCTTTGCTTATTCAAGTAGAGCTCTGTTTGGTCATCATGCTCCGCTCGAAGTCGTTGGATCCACGGAAGATCCGCTTAATGGTATTTTTATTGTACGAAAATATATCCTTAATTTATGGTATCAAGTGTTATCATTCAATAATACAACAAATAATTTAAGGAATATTTATATGTTTATCACTCAATTTCTATATATTTACCTAACACAAATTTGAACTTATACATGCATACCAAATTATATTTACATGAAGAAGAGCATCTTACTATTTAAAAAATCAAAATGGTAATATTTTTTTATGTGATATGAAAGATTTTAGTGGTATAAATGTAAAATAAATGTGCTATATATATAAATACAAAAGAATTGGGTGGTCTCTATGTAAATGCCCTAATAATATAGTAGTAATAAGTGTTCATATATGACAAATTTTAAAATGTTTGTCGTTGAATCTTGATTTGTCGCTAAATCACACTTCTGGAATATACCATAAGTAAAGAGAGAGAGATGATTGAACATTAAAACGTTATATCAATCATGTCTTATTCATGAAATGATCTCTATTTTTATAGGGGAGAGAGTACAATATAATATATTATATATTTGCCCCTGCTCTAAAGTGGGCTATAAAAATTATTCTTGAAACTTTATATGTATGATTCTATCCCCCGGCTACTTCTTTGGTCGGCTGGTTAAGCTCAATTTGGTCTGTCTCGATCAATTGAGATTCGGTCGGCTTGATGGGATCAACATGGTTTGCTGATTTTGGTCGGCATGAGTCAGCCAATTGATATGGCCCATTTGTCGGCCACTGACCCTTGATGAGGGGAGTTCGGATGTCTCTGGGATGTTTAGCGATGTTAAGGAACGAAATCTTCCTAATTGTTTCGACTAATTCTTATATCTTCAGTTTGTCATTGATCCGTCTCGTGATTCAATCGATTTTTGTCTTACTGGTTTTGGCACAGACAGCCTCACTTGTTTAGAAAAATGGAGCTCATATTTTTCCGTTGAGAGCTCTCATTCGTCGTATTCTTTCATTCTCAATCATTAGATTTTTTCATGATCAATACCGACACATTTTTATTTACAATATAATAAAATTAATCTCTTTTTGATATAAAATACATCAAAATATTTAAAAAATATTTATTTTCTAATTATATAAAAAAAAAAGAGAATTACTATAATGCCCCAATCATAAATTCGATTAGAAAAGCAGGTCATAG